CCCCCACAGTTCGTGCAGTACCCACAAATGCCTACAAGTAATCCGCAAAGTTTTCCGCCTCAAATGAACAATATTTACCAAGCTCAGCCCCAACAAAATTTCCAACATTTTGGTACACAAATGGCGCAGCCATCAATCAATAGTGAAACTAACCAAAGACCCACAACTGATTTTGCTGGATTCATGCACAGCTTCGATAGGATGTCTCTGTCGTGGGCATTAGACAAAATTCCAGATTTGAAAGGTCCTGAAGGTGTCGATCAAATTAAGACATTTTTCAAAAAATTCGATTCTGCAACTGAAGGGATATCAGATGTTGTGCGATTAAAAGCATTGGAATCTAAAATCAGCGGAAGAGCTGAAAGAGCTTTTAATACAGCGTTAGGAAATTGTCCGTTTATTTATTCATCGGTCCGACGCGAAATGCTTCGTATTCTTGAAACAACAGACACAAAAGAAATTTGTGCTTTCGACGAACTCATGTCTGGAGTTAAGAGGCGAGAGAATGAAAATATCGATTCACTTGCCAATAGAATTGCATCTTTGGTCAAACGAGCTTATCCAGGGATGACAAATAATTTGTTGGATGAGTACTCAATAAAGCATTTGATAAGAAGCATTGGTGACTCAAACCTTGCACTTAATCTTGAAATAGCTCGACAAGACGGAATGAGTTTCGACAGTTTCGTTTCTCTGGCAGCTAGAGCAGAATCGACGCAAAAAGCGACTCGGCATATTAATTTCCAATCTAAACATCCTGTCCAGCAATTCTCACAACGTAATAATAATTTTACACCTCGAAATGAAATTACCTGCTTTAACTGTGGAAAACCAGGTCACCTCTCACGCGATTGCTTCGCTAATCGAAATAATCAATATATCTTGAAAGACAACGTGGCAGCTGCTACTGGAGCTAATAGAACATTTATGAATACCAAAAATAATATTAATGAGCTATCTAGAAACACAGCAGCCTGGCGAGGAAACGGCCAAACCAGAGTACTCCCACCATCAGGCAATCAACTTAAAAACGGTTGCATAACTATTCATGACGAAATCCCTGAAAATCACGTCAACTCTTGTGGGATAAACATTCTGGAAATTAAAGAAGAGCTTAAGAAAATCCCTGAACAAGAAGCAAAAGCGGAGATAATAAAAAATTCTATAGGCCCGGTCATGTCGATCAAAGTTAATGTAAAAGGTCTACCTGCAAAAGGAATGCTAGATGGAGGAGCACAAATTTCGCTAATAAGTTCAAGTTTTCTTATGAAAATGCTCAAAGACAAGGGAATTGAACTAAAGAACATTGGATTTTCGAGAGCAAAAACTAAGATTTCCGATGTTAATGGACAAAAGCTAGAATGCCATGGAATAGTTGAGTTGGAAATAAAACGTGAAAACCAAGAAGAGATCAAAACTTGTTTTCACATAACTGACGCTCCATTTGGCTATGACTTACTTTTCGGCACAAATTCGCTAAGCAAACTTGGATTTAAATTATTAGACGTTCCTAATAATGGTTTAATTGATTTTGGAAGTGAAGGTTTAGACCAGAACAACGATGCAGAAAGAGTAATTTATAGGACAAGGATCCAAACATTAAGCGTTGAATTTGAGGATTTAGGATCCGTTGGAAAAGAACTCAACGTGTTTGAAGATAAAGCTGGAAGTGATAAAAAGGAAGAGAACAAAGAGTTGAATAAAATTAAGAAGAAATTTGAAGAAAATCTGAAAGAAGATGAAAAGAAAGTTGAATTTGAAGGAAAAAGAAGTGGTTGTGGAAAAGAGTTGTTTAATGATGAAAAGGCTAAGTCTGCCAAGAAAAATGGTCGAATATTGAGCAGCAACCTTCTTCGAATTGAAAGGGAGCAAAACCGAGAATTTTATAGGAATAGATCAATTTTCATTGGAAACCTCCCATATAAAACATTAGACGAATCAGTTAGGACTCACTTTTCAAAATGCGGCAAAATTATCGGTGTTCGATTACTTCGAAATAAACAAACGGGACTTTGCAAAGGAGTTGGTTACATCGAATTTATTGACCCAGCTTCAATTAAGAGGGCGTTTGAATTAAATGAATTGTCTTTCGAAGGAAGAAAATTAAGGATTTCTAGAATTTATGAAAAGAAAAAGCTGGCTAAGATGAGAGACAAAAATGAAAATTTAAACTTGAAACCGTCCAATTTGATAAAAGGAATTGAAAAATGGTTGAAACCAAAAAGAGAACTTAGAGGAAAAAGAAATAGAAAAGCGGAAAATCTTGAAACAATTCCGAGGACGGAATTATCTAAATACGAGGAGGGGAGAGTTGATGCGGTTGAGAGCCGTTTAATAGCCAAACTTCCGAAAATGAACGGAATTGAAACATTGAAGGCAACCCAAAAGCCAATTAATGAACTAGGTGTTCGAAACTTGAAATCAAAAATTGCTGTTCCGAGAATTGAAAGAAGTGGAAGGAACTCAACAAGGAATGAGTCGTGGAGGCGCGGTCTAGGCGATCAAACCCCTAGAAGCCGGTTGACTGGAAATGAAAATCGAAGGGAGCGAGGTCTAGGCGATCAAACCCCTAGAAGCCGGTTGACTGGAAATGAAAATCGAAGGGCGCGAGGTCTAGGCGACCGAACCCCTAGGCGTTCTGTCTTTGAAAGGATTAGACGTTATGAAGGAAGCAGATCTCGTGACCGTCTATGAACCACACCCTTTCGCAGCCGATTCAAAGCCGAGGGACTCGTCTTCTTAGAAGGTGGAGATGTGGTGACGCCCAGGCTCTTTTGACTTTAAATTTAATTTAAATAAATAAATGACATTGTATCCCTTTCTATGTTCCTATAAAAGAAAATTCTCTCTCCCCAAATTCGTTCAGTTGTTCATTCGTTCATTCTATTAAGTTTGTTCTTTGAGTGTCCCCTTCCCCTTTTTTATTTATTCGTATAATTTATTAGTGGAAAATTGTATTGCCTCTTATTAAATAAATATTGAATTTATTCGTATTTGGACTTGAATTGATTTAAAGAAGGGTTAAAATAAAAAGAAGTTATAAGAGAAACAAATTTTATTTCTCACGCGGCAAAAGATTTTTCAAAAATGGTGGCTAAGATTGAATTAAATAATCATTTTACTCCTTTTACTGCTTTAAATGAAAGAGCTGAAATAATTGAAGAGAAACATGATAACGTACATTTAATATCAATAATATACAAACTTTCCAACAAATTCAATCCAGAGATTAAATTCGCTATTTTATATAAGAAAAGTTGTTACGTAACTGAATACAAAGTTATAGAAATTAAACGAATTTATTGTTAAATCTTTTTTTTTAATTATTTAATTAAAATTGGACTGGATCTGATTTGGATTGGATTGAACTCGATCCGACCAGTTAATTTTTTCAACATTTCCCCAATTAATTGTTTTCACCAAATCTTTTCCAGTATGAGTTAAAACTCCAAAAACTTATTTCTGGTCGGATCCGGAATATTCATTTTTCGAATGCATATCACATTTAATCTGACTTTTTGATAAACATATATTTTTGCTATCCTTTTTTTCAACAATTTGTTTAAACCTAACAACTAATATGTGTTTAATTTTTATTAATACATGATAAATTTTGTTTTATCAGATTTCAAATTTGTCAAAAAATAAAAAAAATTATTTTTTAATCTTTTTTTTTTAATTTATAAAATTAGAAAAAATTTTCTAAAAAAATTGTTTAACAATCAGTTACTTTTTAGAATCAAAAATGACAGATTTCAAAACTCGAAAAGCCAACTCTGGGTATTTACTTTCAACTTCTTTCCATAATTCGCTAATTAACAAACGTTCTTTGTTGATACGAATATAAATTTTGCAACCCTATAACGAAACTTGTTTAAAAAATTGTAAAATTTATACCCTTTCCAACGTTGGTGCGTCGTATAAATTGATAATATCGCAATATTTTAAAAACTTTTCGTCATCTATATAAATATAAAGATTTTAGCAGTAGATTATTTTCGTTTGTTTTATTTGTGGTTAATTGTAATTCATGTTTATCTCTTACTATAAGGTTTTATTATTGTAATTTGGTATTATAATTACAATGCAGACCATTTTTATATTTATATACAGGGTGCGGCAAATTAGCGGCCGCTTTTCTTTTGGCTATAACTTTTTTCATTTTGAATGAAAATCGATAATTCTTTTTTTCCTGGATTCCTGATACTCTAAGAATTTTTTTGATACCAAATAATAGGAATTTTGTTCACAGATTGTAAGGATAAGCCGGTCCAAACATTTAAAAGCATCGAAAAACATTTTTTCTGGTCGAATTTTAATTGATCATAACTTCGTCAAAAATTATTCAATCCCGATGATTTTAGTACCAATCGACTCGTCTCGTTCAGGCGCATCGAAATAGCTTATGATCTCATTTTTGAAAATTTTACTCAAAAATTTTATATTTTCCAAATTTATTTTAATTTATCATTCAGTGAGCCATATCTCGGTTCATTTACGTGATAGACGCCTGATTTTGACGTCATTCGAATCAGATTGGAGAGCTGATTCGAATGATATATAAATTTCTCATATCAAAATAATAGGCTTGAATCCTGGCCAGCTTTTATCCAAAAAATTTTGCTTAAACTTTTGAGAGATGATTAATCAAACTAAATTATAAAATATAAAGGCGATTTTGCTATCAAAAAAATTCTTAGAGTATCAGGAATCCTGGAAAAAAAGAATTATCGATTTTCATTCAAAATGAAAAAAGTTATAGCCAAAAGAAAAGCGGCCACTAATTTGCCGCACCCTGTACATTTAATTGCTATTCAAATTTATTTCAGAATTTCTTTTTGTAATTCTTATTTCAAAAATTTTTTAAAAACAAAATTAAATGTGAGGAATAATTATTGATGAATGACTTGTAATCAACTTTTTTTTATTTTCCATAAAAATCAGTTATTTTAGAAATTCAAGTTTTATAGGTAATTTGAATTATTATTCTTTAAATTATATTACTTACCAATCAAGTTTGACATAAAAATTTCGCACTCATATTTTAACGATTCCACTTGATATTTATGAGCTATAGCAAAAACATCCTCAACATAATTTTCCAATATGTCTTTAATTAATTATATCATAAAATTTAAAAATATTTAAAAAACTTTTTTTAATTTTGCCATTATAAAAAAATTCTAACATTGCATTAACACATTCAGGACCAAAATCAGAAAGTATAATTTCACCCTAGAATAAAATAAAATGAAAGTCTTCTTAAATTTAAATATATATTCGTCTTATCATGATAGATATTATATTGTTACATATTACATTTTGAGCTTCAATCATTCCATCATGCTCGAACATTTTTTGAAATACCTTACTGTTATTTGCCAAAATAGAACGATGTGTTTTAATTAAATCTTCACCAATCTAATAAATAAAGAATATTTCTTTTTAGATAACAACGGTTATCTCGTAATTTTGAACGAAAAAATTACCTTAATAACACAATCTGTAAATATCTCCCCTTCCAACATATTATTATATTTGTTTTGTAAATTATCGTTAGAATTGTAACAGTCAGTTTCGACATCGCAACGCAGATACAAGCAATCTAAATTTACCTTTAAATTCCCACGGGTTTTCAAACTTACCATCAGAAGTATTATATAACCTATACAAATCACCTTTAGAATATCCCAATTTTTCTCGATTTTCTAATTTATGTGTTGAGCTTAATTGTATAAGAGGTTTTCATGTATAAATATTTAAACCTTGCAATATCTTTATATGCGCCATTTATACGTACATAAATACTGTACTGAGTATTTACGAGTGTATTAGTACTACTCAGTTCAATTTGACGAAGCCAGATAGCATAAGTATTATTGTGACTGTAATCTAAAATTACTCGAAAATTTTTCAAAATAAAATCAAAAGAAAAAAAAACAAAGACCAGACAAGATTTAAAAAGGACTCTAACATAGGGGGTACATAAACAGAATCTGAAAATATAAGAAATACGACGCACCTTTTTTAATTTCAATGCATAACTCCCATTCCACTGTTGCATGCTTGGGATTTGAAAATCGATCACCTAAAGGTTTTAATTGGTACTTTTCCGTTACCTCTGAAGTTGACACTCAACTTATACTCTTATGTTTTGGCCCGTATCATAAGAAGGTGGTTAGAACCATCGTAGCGGCAGCGCCTACCTCGGCGCCATTTGATCGACCAATCTTTATTACAGGTAGGCGCTGCCGCTACGATGGTTACGCCGCGGGTTTGGCGTCGCCGTTTTTATTATTCCTCCCTATTTAGGAAAAAACATAACTTTTTTTAAATTGAGGTAAAAATTTTATTTTCATTATTGTACAACCCCCAGAAACAATTACGAAATAATAAAAATAAATTATACATTATCATTTACTATCCATTTAGAGGAAAAGAAAATGTAAGTGTATGTATAACGGAAAAGTATGTATTTAAAAATCTAATTTATAACTTGTCAGATTCAACTTGCCACCACGTTCAACCTGTGCAACTATTTTTTGAATGTTTTTGATCGACCAATCTTTATTACATTTAATTGTATTCATCTAAATAAAAATTTCCAAATAAATTCTCTAATAGTGATTTGTTAGGTCTTAATTAATTAAAATATTAATTAAGATTTACTATTGACACCATTAAACCCTCAAAATTTTTTATTAATATTAAAAAAATAAATAAATCTACTAAATATATGCGAAGGCTTGGAGTTATTGATAAATCAAATAAACCTATTTAGTCTTTGTGTTAAATAATTTTTATTTGAAATATTTTCAATTTGCGATTCTGTTCGATTTTTAAAGATATTAAAAATGAATGAAAAATACATACATAGTTTTGAATATTTAATATATGAAGTCCATTTTTGGCTAGAGTATCCCTATGATCACATTAAAAAGTATTTTTTTATGTAACAGGAGACGGTCGGTATTCCGATTTCCGACGTTTTTTCCTTCCGATTTCCAAGTTCCGTAATTTGCGAAAAACCGATTTCAGAAGAATTTCGAAGCATATTTCTGACTGAATATTTTTCGTAAATTTTCAAAATTTTCGATAGAGGCCCTAAGAATGTAGGTTAAAGGCTTCTTGATCTTCCAAAATTTTGGCTGCGGAGCAGAAAAAGTAAGATTTTCGGCTCTTCGGCCTTCTAAAAATTCTTGGAATTTTAAATGTTATGTATTTGGAGGGTTATAGGTGATATCTGGAGAACTTAACCCAAAATAAATTGAAATGGTCCGTAATTTCACTGGCTGAATTTTTAATGCGAAGCAATTTACTTTTTTTTTGGCTTGACTCTCAAGTACTTATGTAAGTATATGTATAAATGAAGGTTAGTAGGTCAGTAAAAGTTTAAAGAAAAATGAGGAGAGGGTAGCTAAAATCGAGTAAAAAAGGGGGTTAATAAAAAAAAGGCTAAAAAGGGGTTAATTAATTAATATAAGTTTATCAGGGGGTTAAACCCGTGTATCAAAACCATTGCATTGCCACCCTATGTATCGATACCCTATCTCATGTATTGAATATCTATCGTTGCATTGCAATTTAAGGATCTACCCAAAAATGACGTGAAGGATATCATCCCCTATTAATTTTTGTATAACTGGAAAATAAAAACAGAAAAAATGAAAAAAACTAAGTAAAAATGTTTCAAATGAATCTAGGAATTTAAAACAAAAATGAACCAAAAATCTAAACAAAACAAAAAATGAATATAGGAATCTAAAACAAAAATGAATGGCAAATAAATGTTGAAAAAAGAAATTGTTGACTTTAAGGTTATTTCGTCTTCTTCATTCTCATTGCCTAATTATATAGACTGTTGTTTAAGGAATATGGAACAGCCCCTCAAAAATATGGAATAAGGCAAAAAAGGGTCAAAAATAGGCATTACATATTTTAAACGCTTGAGAATAATTAAAATTTTAATTAAAATTAATTTTCACAAAATACCACAAATTCTAAAAATATTACAAAATGGTAGAAATAGTGCAAATTTAGAAAATAGGGAGGACTAGGGCGAAAAGCTTAAAAATAGAGTAAGTTTCAAAAGAATTCTATAGTTTCGAATTATGGTCAATTAAATACGTTTTCAATAAAAAATACATACAATTTTTTAAATGTTTATTTATCAAAAAACAAAAACTTTAAAACTGATTTTTAAAACATGAATGAATCAAAGCTCGAGTAATATCAAAAAATCATTAATAAATTCGTTGAATTTTTATTTCTTTAACCGTTTCAAAAATTATTTTATATACAATAGAGAATTTAATTTTTGGATTGAATTTGTTGGAAAGTTGGTATTTTGTTAACAAATAATTTTCGTTTTCACGTTTCTCTTCAATTTTTTCAGCTCTTCCATTTAAACCAATAAAATTAATAAGAAGATGATTGAAGTGAATAAAATCCACCATTTTGGAGCAATTTTTTGACGTTTCAATATACTAAAATAAAAAGAAAATATTAAAATATTGATATGTATATAGTTAGATATAAATATATAGTCAGACCTCGGCTACTATTGATGATAAAATTAAATGAGGAAAAATCGACAAAATGAGGAAAATCCTTACATATCTGAGTTTTGTATTATGCCCTGGTTTTTATATTCTTCAATCTATTTTTTGATAATAAATGATAAAAACAATCTCGAACCGACTTTCTTATACCACATGGGTCACATCACCACCCAAAATCTTACTTTTTTCAGTCCAATCCAATTTTTTGCAAGGAATTTAAGGGCGCGCCGAACTTTGCGGACCCGAATTTTGCGGACCCGAACTATGCGGACCCGAATTTTGCGGATCTGAGATTTGCGGACCAAAAATTTGCGGACCGACAATAGAGTCTACTAAACCTCGGAAAATTCAAAAATTTTAGCCTGCGGCGTTAATTAGGATAAATCCAGGCATCATGACCTTATGAAATGGCCATATAAATGATTTTTTAAGGAATTTTCACGATTATTTAAATTATGAAATAATTTTAAGATAAAAAATTGATAAAAATTTTGAAAAATCAAGAAAATATCCTGAATCCGGTACGGATCATGGTAAACTCTGCCGGAATCCTAGAAAAATTAATTGTTAATTTTTCCTTTTTACTCAAGTGTCGTTCCTAAAATCTTGGTTTCGCAAAGATCAGGTCCGCAAAGTTCGTGTCCGCAACCTTCGGGTCCGCAACTTTCGTTCCGCAAATTTCGGGTCCGCAAATTTCGGGTCCGCAAAATTCGGGTCCGCAAAGTTCGCGCCACGAAAGTACCCCAATGAAAAATCCAATGAAGGGGTATAACGTCAAAATCGTTTTTCTCTCAAAAATAGAAAGAAAAATATAAGAAAATTAACCATTTTTAAGAATATGGAAAAAAATTGGATGGCAGCATTCCCTTCACATAGAGTCAAAACTTACGTTAATGATAAAATTGAAATATTGTGGCTGATTTGATAAAGTAATTGATTTACACTTGTCGCCATTGATTAAAATTTTGGATAAAACATTTATATATTCTTCAATATTAGTATACTCTTCATCATCTTCAGTTGGAAAAATGATTTTAAGAGACCCAAAGATAAAATGATTCAGAATAAATTTTAATAACTTTTCTGCATTACTCTTATTAAAATAATAATAAGATTCTTGAATATAAATTTGTTTAGTATTTCCAAATAATAATTCGATTAATTCTGGGTTGAATATAAATTCATTAGCGCGGTTACATTCGAAGGAACAATTAAATAATTTATTTAAATAATAATAAACAATTTTCATGTCCCCTTTGTTTCTGATAAAAGTTGGTAGTTGTAGTAGAAGATAACTGATTTCATCGGTGAAGGCGAAAACTAAAAACTTTTTTGAACACTAATGAAAATAGAAATGATTAACCTTTATAAAAGCAAATGCCCATATCGGAAAGAGACAAATACAAAGGAATCGGTTCATCTAATCCATTAAGCCACTAAAAAAAAGAAAGGAAATTTTTTGACTTTAAAAATATTTTTAACCTTCTCTTCAATTTGTTTGCTTATTTCTTTATGTTGTTCATCAAACAAAGCAAAATCAAAATTTTCAGCTTCAGGTTTAATTAATTTATAATGATGACCTCCTCTGAATTGATCCATATAATCCTTAAATAAATTCTTAAAAGTTAATTTTTATAAAAATCACAATAGAGATTTGATAAAATTCCTCTCGAGCAAGTTCTCCTTCATATTTATTAATAAAATCACAAAAATATAAATTTTGTTTGTTTAATTGAATATAATTGTTTATAATTGAGGAATTTGAATACATCAAGTTTTGCTTCATTTGGAAGAGAAAACATTTTTAATTATCTAGAAATAAGAAAAAATTCTTAAGATAAAATACAAATCAAACAAAGATTAAAGCATAACACGCTGGGGATTGGGATTAGGGTTGGGGTTTTCGAGTCATTCTTTTCGGGCCTCATTTTTTGGCCGGCCCGACCGAGTCTTTTTCGGGCCAAAATTCGAGGCCCGACTCGATCTTTCGGATCGGGCCCCCACCCTAATTGGAATGTAAGGGAGGGAGGGACCCAGAAATAACTGTAAAGCGATGCTAACCCGTGAAATTTTATTGAAAAAATGAAAAATAAAAAAAAAGAAAATTCTTCTAAAATTGTATCTAAAACCAATTTTTTTAGAAATGGAAGGAAGATAACTAAAATAGGGAGAATAAAAGAACAAAAAGCAAAAATAATGTAACTATTTTCTTACACAGATACATACAGTGGCGGAAATTTAAATAGGGAAAAATATTTTTAATTTGATTTTTAAAAATTATCCGGCTAATCATTAATGACTTTTATATAGTTTTGTAGCTTTATTTATAAGCTATCAAATGACTAATAATCATTAAAGGAAAAGTTTTCACCTAAGCGAGAAAAAATCATTTATCTATGTCAACTTAAAAAGTGCGCGGAAATTTAAATAGGGAAAATAATTTGTATTTAGTTTTTTATGGAAAATCACTTTAGAAAAAATCTGAAAAAATTTCTGGGACCTTCTCTAGCAATATGATGAGGAATGGCAAAAAATCTTAATTTTAACCCAACTCCCTCACCGAGATCTCGAGGCCTAAAATCAACGGAAAATGGGGGTGATTTGTCTCAAAAAATTATTTCGGCCCATCTGACAGAGATAGAAATTTTCTTTCTTGATAGGTTTGAAGCCCATAAAATTTGCTATAAAATAAGTCTTATGCCATTTTTTTAAAAAATTCCTTCTCCGAGATATAGGCTGAAACCTTTTAATTTAGGGAAAAATGTGTTAAATCAGTCATAAATTTTGCAACTAGAAAATCTTCGGTATTCATCTCGAAGAAGAAATTTTTTGAAGGAATGGCATTAAGCCTATTTTGTAGCAAATTTAATGGGCTTCAATCTGAACATGAAAGAAAAATTTTATCTAGGCCAGATGGACCAAAATATTTTTTAAAATCAGATCACCCTCAAATCACCCCCATTTTTCGTTGATTTTGGGCCTCGAGATCTCGATGATGGAGTTAAGGTAAAATTTAGATTTTTTTGCCATGCTTCATCATATTGATAGATTAAGTCAAGATAGATAAATGATTTTTTTCCGCTTATATGTAAAGTTTTCTTTTAATGATTAATATTTATTTATTTATTTATTATTAACATAAAAAAAAAATGTCATCGAAAGGGCGTGCCACTTAATCCGACAACAATGTCGTAGTGAAGCACAATAAAAATAATCAAAATAAAAAACAGCATAAAAACAATTAAAGTCATAATAAATTAAATAAAAACAAAAATTTATATATAATCGATTTATTATTTAAATAAATATACTCTATACCGACCATTTTAATTAACTAGGATGATTAAGTATAGTTCAAATTTTGTCAAAATTTAAAGAATTAATTTGTTCAACAATTTTGCTGCGTTTTTCGTTGTTTGTCATATTTGCTGCAAAATTTAATGGAGAGAATTCAGAAGAATTGCGCTTAGACATTGTTTAGTCAACAAAAAAAATATTACCCAATTAAATATCTTTTTAAAATTTCCTTAAAAGAAAAAAAATAAAATGCTTTTTAAACAAAAAAAAAGATAAATTTTAATAAAAATTAGGAGAGAAGAAAACAAAAAAAATTTTTTTTAAATTTAATTTTATGAGTCATCAAAAAGAAGAAATAGTGGGAATGCGAAAGAGTAAGAGATGCTTGTATAAATTGTCATTTAAATTAATTTTTTTGAACAGAATGCCAAACATAATTCAAAATTATAATTTAAATGTTTACTTAAAAAGGAAAGAAAAATAACAATATATAGCTACTATATAGAAAAAATAAAATCTATATACTAGAAAATAGGTGATTATTTAAAAACATTAAAAATGTTTTTATGATTATTTTAACAAATTGCCTAACTTTTTGCTTTTACAATTTCTAAGCATTTAAGTAAACATGATTTGGTTAGAATTCTGAGAATATGTTTAGTTCATATTCAATTAGTAAAAAACCCTTAATTTTTGGAAATTTATGAATTTAAGTAAAAGACTATTTGATAAATTATCTTTACATTCTTTACTTGATCATAAAAAAAAAAATGGAAAAATTACGTTTAACAGAGGATTTTTTATATAAAGTAAATATTTTTTATTTATTTCTTATAAAGTTGATAACATTTTATTTCTTCCTAAGAAATTAACATTCAAAATAAACATTTGAATCTTGGACATGTAACATGAAAAATTTTGAAATTTTACTACGATTTTTTAAACATTGTAAGAATTTAGAGGCTTTGAGCTTGAAATAGCTGTCAATTCTGAATGATGCTATTTGTGATGAAATTGGAAAATTTTCTAGATCTAAGATTTTTTGGATTTAATTTGTTAATAGGAAAGTGAAACTGGAATTTAGAATATTTTTTCCAAATAGGTAAGTGAAATTAGAATTCAGAATATTTTTTCAAAATTGTAGATTTACTGAATGAGTATTGCTTTTATTTTATTTTTAAAACTAAGTGTTATTTTTGTAGTTCTGAGTTCATCATTTAAAACATTCCACATCTTGGTTACCCTATTAACAAATGAATTGGAAGATTTTGATGTTTGATTTTTAGATAACAAATAACAGTTTTTTCTATTTGATACTTTAAAAAGATCATCTGATTTAAGATGTGTATACCCGTGTAGGATTTTATGAGCTAATACTAAATCATAAGTCTTACGACGATTTTCAAGAGTAGGAAGATTAAGAAATTCCAATCTTTGTAAATATGGTATATAGGGTAGTGAACATTTTCGAAGTAAGATTTTTGTAAAGAATTTTTGGCATTTTTCGAGTTTGATAATATCAGATTTTAGCTGTGGATTCCATGTTTCAGGAGAGTATTCAAGCAAGGGTCTTATATAACTTTTATAGATAGTAAGCCATGTTTTTATAGATTTTGATTTAATTATTTTAAACACAAAATTCATTTTTATATAAGCTGCCCGAATAATTTTTTGTACATGTTCTTGAAATTTAAGTTTATTATCTATTATGATGCCTAGATCACGTATAGAATCTACTTCATTTATAGTTGTATTAAAAATTTTATATTGATCTTTAGGGTTAGTTTTACCAAGATAAATGATATATGTTTTATTAATAGCAATATTTAATTTCCATTCAGTTGCCCATTGTTCAATATTTTTGATAGCATCAGTTAGCATTCTTCTTTCATTTTTAGTTTTATGTATAACATATACTTTGACGTCATCAGCAAAAAGTTTAATTTTTATACCATTTGGGATTATATCAGGTAAATCATTAATGTAAATCAGAAATAATAATGGGCCTAAAACGGATCCTTGTGGTACACCTGATTTAATATTTCTAGGTTTGGATAACGTGTTGTTTATTTTGACTCTAAAAGTTCTATTTGAAAGAAAACATGAAATCCAAGTTAAAATCTTTCCTCTAATACCTATTTTATATAATTTATTGAGTAAAAGATCATGTGGTACTGAGTCAAATGCTTTTTTGAAGTCAATGTATACGCAGTCAATATTCTTTTTTCCCATTATTGCATCATACCAATCTTCTAATGTAGTAATTAATTGTGTTGTAGTGGATCTATTTTTTATAAATCCAAATTGATTATCACTAAATAAATTATTGTCATGAAGAAATTGAACGATGTATTTATTAAGAACCATTTCCATGACTCTGCATAAGGCACATGTTAATGCAATGGGTCTATAATTTTCAGGATTAGATTTTTCTCCTTTTTTGAATAGTGGCATAATTATAGATTCTTTCCATATTTTTGGTAATATACCTGAATCTAGTGATATTCTGAATATTTCAGACAGAACAGGAGCTATAGACGGAAGTGCAATTTTTAATATTTTATAATTTATATTATCAGGTGAAGTCCCATTTTTATTTGGTAATTTTTTAATGAAATTGATAATATCAATTATGTCAAAATCAATATCTTCGATAATAGATATTTGATTGCTGTTATTGATATTGTGGTTATATTGCATATTTGTATTAGAAAAATTTTCAAGAAAGATATCAGCAAAAATTTCAGACTTATCTATTGATTTTGTTATATATCTATTATTATGGTAAAGCACAGGGATTTCATTATTTGTAAATTTAAATCTTTTAAGATATTTATGAATAGAATTTATATTTTTAGTAATATAAGCATTTTGTTTTTTATTATGAAAATTTCTAGACTGAATTTTTATATGCAATGATATGCTATCATATAATTCTTTATATTTAATTTTATCAGTTTTAAGTAGCCTATAAATTTCAGCTTTCTTTTTAATAGATGCTTTTAAGTGAGCAGGGTAATCATGTTTAAGATCTTTTTTAGTTATAAGTTTTTCTGGTACATATAAATCAAGAGAAGTTAAGATATTATTTACGAGGTGATTATATTTATCTTCCAAATAATAATTTTGTGTGGATATAACGGGTATAACAGAAGATAGAAATCTATTTAATAGAAATGTATTATCTTTATTATATTTTCTATATTTTATGGGTTTGACTTCTTTTTTGCTTATAGGGAATAATAAATCAAAGATTAAAGCATCATGATCAGAATTAAACAAGGACCCATCAACATAAATATTTTGAAATAAATTAGGTTTATTTGTTAAACAAATATCCAAATATGCATCATTTCTAGTGGGACCAGGTGTAGTTGAAGATAGATTAGCAGAATTGAAAAAATTGAGAAATAGATCACCTAAACTGTTTTTACAATATGGAATATTATTGATCCAATTCAAATCCTTGGTGCCAAAATTAAGGTCTCCCAATATGATGCAATTAAAAGAAATAAAAGATTCAATCAGTTTAAAAAGTTTTTTAGTTTGAATGATACTAGTATTTGGAGGTCTATAGATAAGAATGAAATTAATGCATTTAGAATTTTGTATTTGTAGATGAATTATTTCTGAGTTAAATTTAGAGATAGACTGTTTAACGAAAAACTTAATATGCTTTCGGATCAAAATAGCGCAGCCGCCTCCCCTACGATTAACTCGATTGCATAGAACTATATTAAAATTTTCAAGTATATCTAAGTTAAAAATATTTTGGGTTTCTGTTGTAAGCCAAGTTTCAGTTACAAAGAGGATATCTATGTTACATGCACTTAAAATACAGGAAATATCGTCAATTTTATTTTTTAAAGATCTAATGTTTATAAGGCATCCTTTTATTTTTTTGTTTAAAAATAAATTGGAATTTTTTTCATGGGAAATAGTCGGTTCTAGAGTATATTTATTTATAGGAGAAGTGAGATGACTTCTTAGTTTTTTGGAAGAGTTTTTTTGAAATTGTCTATCTCACTTCTCAAAATTATATTAGAGGCATAAATGACATAGTCAGCACCGGGGTGCTCACTACGCATTTTAAAACATTGTTTAACGAGGTCTGAGCGAGATTTAAGCTCAGCAGCGGTTAAAGACTCCCTAACCCGTATATTGAAATGTGTGTTTGTATTTATTTTATTATTAATAATATATTTTTTGCCCCTTAAAATTTCCCTAACCGCTGCCTTACTTGGCATTTTTACTTTAATTGGACGACAAGAATTAATTTTTTTAACACCCATACGAAAAATAGCAGTTGGCAAACCAATGTCAACTTTGCACATATTAATAATTTCTAAAACCTTGTTTTGATCTTCCTTCACACGCTCCAGAGCATCTGATTTATTACTTTCTTCCATTCCAGTAATTACTATGCTGTGAAGACGCTCGTTTTCCTCAAATTGCTGTTGTTGTTTTTGTAAATGAAGTTCAAAATTTCCATAAGAATTTTGTTGTTCATTTAGAAGGTCTGCTGCAATTTTCAGAAGAGAGCCCATTTGTCCAATAATTAATTTCGCCCAATTAGGTGTTGTCTTGTCTTGTTCCATTTCAGTCGAAATTTTGTCAAAATTTAAAGAATTGATTTGTTCAACAATTTTGCTGCGTTTTTCGTTGTTTGTCATATTTGCTGCAAAATTTAATGGAGAGAATTCAGAAGAATTGCGCTTAGACATTGTTTAGTCAACAAAAAAAAATATTACCCAATTAAATATCTTTTTAAAATCTCTCTAGGCCAGATGGACCAAAATATTTTTTAAAATCAGATCACCCTCAAATCACCCCCATTTTTCGTTGATTTTGGGCCTCGAGATCTCGATGATGGAGTTAAGGTAAAATTTAGATTTTTTTGCCATGCTTCATCATATTGATAGATTAAGTCAAGATAGATAAATGATTTTTTTCCGCTTATATGTAAAGTTTTCTTTTAATGATTAATAGTAATCTGATAGCCCATAGATAGAGCTACAAAACTCTATAAAAATAATGACCCGATATAAATGATTAGCCGAATAATTTTTGAAAATAAAATTAAAAACATTTTTCCCTATTTAAATTTCCGCCACTGTATGTAAATTTATTTATTTTCTTACACAAAGACCAAGTTTAATTATGAAAAATAAAAATAGCTTTTTATACAAATAGTAAAGGGCGGGAAGTAAAAAAAAGGTCAAATATGTACAAGTTTATGGGTTAAGAAAAGGTTAAATAAAAAAATATAAATAGGAATAAATTCAAATAATTGTCGCATTTTCGAAATGCGATTTCATTTTTCCCAAGCTTACAAAAACTTGTTTATTATTAAAATTCTTTCGTTGTAAACTTTCCCAACATATTTCCTATAAAATCTATCAGCGGATAGTTAAAAAGTGTTCATTCAGTTCATTCATTATTCATTGTTCTTTCCCAGTTTTAAAGCTTTACACAATTTCATTCTAATAAAATTCTGCTAAATAAAATCTACTTCGCAATAAAATATATTTTATACGCTTTCCTGTGAAATAAAATTCTTTGTGAAAGAAATTGATTTTAATAGGAAAAGAAATTTCTAGGAAATTAAGTTAAGAAAAGAAAATTTGAGTTAAAAATTTACTTTAAACTGTTTATTTTGGAAAAGCTCAGCCGGTGAGAATGTCGGCACCCTTTCGTAACCAAATCCGGCTTCTCATTCAAGAAGCGGAGGAATTATTGGAAGACCCCAAGTCCTTTGTTCTCCCAGTGCAGACTGGAAGTATATCCCGATTTCACGCACAAATACGCTCCCTTATTACTTCCCTTGACTCAGAATCCCAAATCGTGACTGAATTATTTGACAACATTACTAATGAAAATGACAGATGGATGGCCACGAGAACGTCTATGACTGGAGCTGAAAGACTGGCGGACAACCCAATTTATGATGAATTTGTCACAGACGTGCCTTATCCCACCACATTACGTAAATTAATGAAATATAACAGAAAACTCCACTCTGAAAGAGGGACATTATCAGCAAATTTGCCCGACCCCTCCCAAACCACCGACACTCTATTCCATCTCCCAAAACTGTCCCTTCCTAAATTTAGCGGTAAATGCGTGGAGTTCACCTCATTCTGGAATGCCTTCCGAGTCGGAGTCCATGATCTCTCTAATATTTCGGACTCGGTGAAATTTAATTATTTGAAAGAATGTCTCGAAGGTCCCCCTCTCCTACTAGTAAAATCCCTTCCCCTCACAGAAGCTTCTTACCACGAAGCAATCCGCTTAATTCATGAGAATTTTGGCAATATAAACGAAATTAACCGTACTCTCCACCACGCCATCCGAAAATTACCCGTCGTTCACTCTGTGAACGGTCCCGAAATTTTATGTACTGAATTACGAGCTTTCGTCGACCAATTCGAAGCGCTTTATTTGCAAATGCTTGAACAACACTTTGATGTAAATACTCTGCCCGTTCAAATGGAACTCGAATCGAAATTACCCCCTCAAATACTTGAAGAAGTGTTCAGAGACAAAGAAATTCATGGGCAAGACTGGAACACAGACCAACTCCGCAATACACTGAAGTCAATATTGAAAAGAAAGGAAGGAGTCAAAGCCCTTAGGGACCAGAAGAAGGAACTCAATACACAGGACAGGCCCTCTAATTCTCCCAAACAGTTCAGGCAAGTTGGAAATTTTCGTTCCCCAAATATGCCTCAATCCTCTCTGACATTTTCTACCTCTAGGCCGAATAACAGACCAGGGATGTATAAATTCCCCTGTGTTTTTTGTAATCATCCTAATCACCTCTCCCACCTCTGTTCGAATTATAATACCCTTCAAACACGAAAATCCCGGCTACGAGAAAAGAAACTCTGCTTTACTTGTTATAAGCCTGACCATCTCGCTAGATCCTGTCAAAACCCAATTACGTGCACTAATTGTCGAAATCTCCATCCCCGTGCACTTTGTCCAAATCCATTCAATTCCCTACAAGAACCTCCCCCGCAGCATGTAACTAATTTCTGTTCACAGATGATTCCAGATCCTCCTACACATACAATCCCAATCCCGTTATCCCTGATAAAATTTCCAGAAGATTTCAAGATTCCCACTTACCATAATAATTTACCAGAAACTAAAATCGAATTACTTCCTTTAAATGAAATTAACCCTGAAATAAAGTCCCTTCCAATACCAGACATGTCAAAAGTAATCTATAATTCAATGAAAGATTGTACACAGATAGATGAATGTAAGAACCAACTACTCTCTCCTAATCCCAGTTCAAATCCGATAAATGAAATTCCCGTAGATATAAAATTAAGAAATGGTAATCAAATTAAATACAAAGAAGCGAAAACAAAAAGCATAAAAATTAATAGGGTAAAACCAGAAACTTCAGTTCCCACAGATAATACGCCAACTTGGACACTACAGAATGAATCTTCAGGCCCCCCAGGTGATGTGCCATCAGTCAAGTCCCCTTCTCCCACTGCAACAAAAATCGACTACTCTGATCCACTCGCTCAATCACCTACTGTCAACCAACAACAACAACCACCCGAAATAGACGTGAAGGATATCCCACTTACTACCTCACCCCCAAAAGAATCTGTCCCGCCGAAAGAACAAGCTCAAACAATCCCGAACCATAAGGCCAGAACGCATCGAATAACAGTGAAAAAGAAATGTGGAAAAAAATGGGTTGAGTCGACCAAATTTCCCAGAAATTCAATGAATGAAAAAACCAAAATTGTGACAAAACCGATACCGTTAAACGACATAAAATTCTATTATATCCCGCTTATACGTTCACATTCTACCTATTCTCAATCTTGTACTGGAGTTATCCCTCAGTTGCCTTCTATCTCTTTGATTCCCGTTATTAATCCAAATTTCTTTTCTGTTGTTTTTCTACCTCATCATCAAATTAATGGACTTATATTCCCTTCACTTTAACCTTGTGGCCGGAGTGTCGCATTTTCGAAATGCGATTTCATTTTTCCCAAGCTTACAAAAACTTGTTTATTATTAAAATTCTTTCGTTGTAAACTTTCCCAACATATTTCCTATAAAATCTATCAGCGGATAGTTAAAAAGTGTTCATTCAGTTCATTCATTATTCATTGTTCTTTCCCAGTTTTAAAGCTTTACACAATTTCATTCTAATAAAATTCTGCTAAATAAAATCTACTTCGCAATAAAATATATTTTATACGCTTTCCTGTGAAATAAAATTATTTGTGATTGTTTAAAATTGATTGAAGAAAATTGAGAGTAATTAATAGGAAATTAAGTGTTAGAAAATAACTTTGAGTTAAAAATTTACCTTAAACTGTTTATTTCGGAAAATAATATTTTGAGGAAATATTGTAATATAATAAAATGTAAATTAAATTAACAAATTTTTTGAGGGAATGATTTGAATAAATGGGGGAAAAAACTCTGTGTATTGAAATGTATTGAAACCATAACACCAAAACGTTTTCATATAATTTACACATTATCAGCAAAATTTTCATATGTAAATATTTATCTGATAAATCAACAATTTTATTTTCGTCCATTTCTTTTACATATTTGAATGATAAAATCGTTCCATCCTTCCACACTTATTGCAAAATTCAAATCTCACTTTTGTATTGTAAATATTGGCAATTTGGCACTTTGTATATGTTTTCTTTTCTACTTGCTTAATTTCAACCTTTTCTGCTCTTTCACTTAATTTAAAATTTGGGGGAGTAGAAAAATTAAAAGTAATACATAATTAAAAGTAATATAAAAATTAAAAGTAGATCATTTCCGGATTAAACATCTTACTTGGACATCTTCCTTGTTTATTAAATAAAATTTTTTAAAAAATATGTAAATAGATATGCTTTAACCAGTTAAAAATAATACTAAAAAATTTTTATCAATTTTTATCAGAAAGCACCATTAATTTAAAAAAAATATTTTGATATCCAACAAATAAAATAAAATTTCCGTTTTCGTCTTCTTAGATTCAATTATTTTTCATTATTTCGACTTTATTACAAAAAGTCCATCCATCACTATCTTCTTCATTGTGAAAGTCAAATTTAAATATTGGATCGTTAATATTGGAAATTTGGTATTTTGTATATTTAACGTCATCTACTTGCTTAATTTCAACTTTTTCTGCTCTTTCACTCAATTTAAACGGTGGAGAATTGTCAAATCGAAAAAGAATATTGGATACAATCTTTGAACAATCTTCCGATGTTGCTATATGCTGAAATTTAAATTTATTTTTTAACTTATAAATAGATGCATTACTTCTGTAATAAGATCATAAATAGGGTTGCCAAAATGGACCGACTCGGACCGAAAGATCGAGTCATGCCTCGATGTTTGGCCCGAAAGTGACTCGTTCCGGCCCGACTCGATAAATTTAGGCCCGAAAAAGACTCGTACCGGCCCGACTCGATAAATTTAGGCCCGAAAAAGACTCGTACCGGCCCGACTCGATAAAAACAGGCCCGAAAAAAATTGTCTCGGAAAAAGTCGGCCCGACTCGAACGAGACTCGATAATATTTTTACCAGATTTGTGGACAAAAATGGGTGAAATCTAGCTCCGTGGCTTCCAAAATTCGAAAAATTTTCGCCTGCGGCGCTGAAAAAGGAAGAAGTTTGGTCCTTAGCCTTCCAAATATCTCAAAATTTTTGCCTGCATGAAGGATTTTTATCTCCATACTTTGTTTCACATCTCGAACTTACTGGCTTTAATTGATAAGCTGGATTACTGGGCGAAAAAATTTCACCTTTTCGACCATTCTTCTACTACTTTTTCCCCCTTTCCTCTATTTCGGGGGGGGGGGGGGGCTCTAGCCCCGCCCCCAGCCCCCTGGATACGCTTTTGGATTAAGTGTGTATTTAATTGGTACCAGTGATTTGGAGGTATATCAGTGATTTCATCTTTTTTTTACCGCTGGAGTCGAAAAGTTTAAGACTTTTGGAAGACTAAGTGGCCAGATTTCTTCCTTTCTACTGTCAATGAAGTGATAAAGAAGCTGTAGGAGAAATTATGATGGATTTAGAGCATTAACAAAAATACGAGGAATTTTAGCATACAGCGGGATTTTATTAAGGGATTTGGTAATTAACGCACGATATCCCCGATATCCCTTCAAATCTCCTCATTCCTTCTAAATCCCATTACAATATATCACATTAATCATCTGATATACGATCCCGAACCCCTTAATCATCTGATCTCCTTTAATAAAACCAATTTTAGCAATATCTCACATCAATCCTCCGATAATTTAAATCACCTTAATCCCTCAAATCCACTGATATCCATTTCAATTCTCTTCAGCCCTTCCTTTACCCTCCTGATCCATCGATATACCTTTTAATTCAGAGATATCCCTCCAAATCCACTAATTATTTTTAAATAAATCTTTTAAAAAAAGACTCGAAAATGTCTCGGTGCCCGACTCGATAAAGTCAGGCCCGAAAGTGACTCGTTCCGGCCCGACTCGATAAATTTAGGCCCGAAAAAGACTCGTATCGGCCCGACTCGATAAAGTTAGGCCCGAAAAAGACTCGTACCGGCCCGACTCGATAAAAACAAGCCCGAAAAAAAATGCCTCGACCGTCGGCCCGACTCGAAAACGGCAACCCTAATCATAAAGCCTCGCTAGCTTATAACTTGTAAACTTAATTTTTGGTATTTTATTGCCTTCATTAATTAACATATTGAATAAAATATTTGTATATTTCTCTGTGAAATCAACACCTCTAAAATCGAAAGTAAGAGATTCAGAAATTGATAAATGGTTTGAAACGAAGTTCAAATCCTTTTCAAATATTTCATTGTAAGCAAGTAGAGTTCCAACTTTTATGTTGAACTGACGAGGAATTGTTGTGTCATTATCGAATAAAATATTTATCATTTCTGGATTAAATATCTTATTATATAATTGAGAAAGGTGTGTGTGTTTGTCTGTCTGTCCTTTTATAGACAAGTTGCTTTTATAGTAAAATGATTGGGGGAGTGAGGAAATGGGGGCTTTTATAGTAAAGCGTTGCCAGTTGAATTGAGTTGTAAGGGTAAGAATATAGTATAAAAGCAGGGTATTTTGGTCAGTCTTCAACTTCTCAACATTGCGTTCTCTTCTACGTCAAATTTTGCTGGAGTCCTGTGTCTTCTTGAGCTAGACGTCAACGTTCATTTGTCAAGTGCTAGGCGTCAACGTTCATTTGTCAAGTGCTAGACGTCAACGTTCATTTGTCAAGTGCTAGGCGTCAACGTTCATTTGTCAAGTGCTAGACGTCAACGTTCATGTGTCAAGTGCCAGGCGTCAACGTTCATGTGTCAAGTGCTAGACGTCAACGTTCATGTGTCAAGTGCCAGGCGTCAACGTTCATGTGTCAAGTGCTAGACGTCAACGTTCATGTGTCAAGTGCCAGGCGTCAACGTTCATGTGTCAAGTGCTAGACGTCAACGTTCATGTGTCAAGTGCCAGGCGTCAACGTTCATGTGTCAAGTGCCAGGCGTCAACGTTCATGTGTCAAGTGCTAGACGTCAACGTTCATGTGTCAAGTGCCAGGCGTCAACGTTCATGTGTCAAGTGCTAGACGTCAACGTTCATGTGTCAAGTGCCAGGCGTCAACGTTCATGTGTCAAGTGCTAGACGTCAACGTTCATGTGTCAAGTGCTAGACGTCAACGTTCATGTGTCAAGTGCCAGGCGTCAACGTTCATTTGTCAATTGCCAGGCGTCAACGTTCATGTGTCAAGAGCTAGACGTCAACGTTCATGTGTCAAGTGCTAGACGTCAACGTCACTTGAAGTGCCAGGCGTCAACGTTCATTTGTCAAGTGCCAGGCGTCAACGTTCATGTGTCAAGTGCTAGACGTCAACGTTCATTTGTCAAGTGCCAGGCGTCAACGTTCATGTGTCAAGTGCTAGACGTCAACGTTCATTTGTCAAGTGCTAGCTGTCAACGTCACTTGAAGTGCCAGGCGTCAACGTTCATTTTTAAGAGATAGGCGTCAACGTTCATTTGTCAAGTGCTAGGCGGCAACGTTAATGTGTCAAGTGCTAGGCGCAACGTTTATGCAGGCAGAATATTGAACAGGGGGAATTGTGAAGCAGGGGGAGTTGTGAAGCAGGCGGAATATTGAAACAAGGGGAATTGTGAAGCAGGCGGAATATTGAAACAGGCGGAATATTGAATAAGGGGAATTGTGAAGCAGGCGGAATATTGAAACAGGCGGAATATTGAATAAGGGGAATTGTGTAGCAGGCGGAATATTGAAACAGGCGGAATATTGAACAAGGGGAATTGTGAAACATGGGGAATTGTGAAGCAGGCGGAATATTGAAACAGGCGGAATATTGAATAAGGGGAATTGTGAAGCAGGCGGAATATTGATAAGGGGAATTGTGAAGCAGGCGGAATATTGAGGGGAATTGTGAAGCGGGCGGAATATTGAATAAGGGGAATTGTGAAGCAGGCGGAATATTGAAACAGGCGGAATACTGAATAAGGGGAATTGTGAAGCAGGCGGAATAGTGAACAAGGGGAATTATGAAACAGGGGGAGTTGTGAAGCAGGGGGAATATTGAAACAATGGGAATTGTGAAGCAGGCGGAATATTGAAACAGGCGGAATATTGAACAAGGGGAATTGTGAAGCAAGCGGTATTGTGAGAGGCAAGAGGAATTGGTAAGGAGGCGGAATTTTGAAACAAGATGAATTGTGATGCAGGCGGAATATTGAACAAGGGGAATTGTGAAGCAAGCGGTATTGTG